TTTGTTTTTGTTTTTTTTTTTTTGTCTTTGTTCTATTTTTTTCTTTTGTTTTCTTATACTAACATTACTCGATTTATTTGATTTATTATTATTATTATTAAAAATATTAAAAATAACAATAATATAAATAATAATAATAATAACGTAACATCTCGTTTAAAATAAATAAATAAATAATAAACCCTAAATCCACGAGTTGTATTTTTATATTTTTCTTTTAGCCTAAATTCGTAATAATTTACCAGAGTGTTAGCGCAAGGAGTTAAATGTTATAAATTCTGGAAATCGAGGGTTAAAGTGTAACTTTCGGACTAGTTATAAATAGAATTGTAGGAGCTAGGGGCTGTTTGGTAATTAATGGATTCAATCTAAAAAAGATTTTTGTGGCATGGACTAAAGTTGAATAAAATAAACTAAGTTTGAAATGAAGGAGGCGGGACTAAAACCCGTCACCCTCTCTCTTGGCCTCTCATTTAAGCAAACCCAAACCCTAACCCTAATATTGTTGCAGTCGCCACCCTTATCCCTCTAATCTCTAGCTCCCACCATCTCCTTTGTCGCTGTCATGAACCACCGCCACTATTGCTACCGACGAAGGCAAGGATCGACGAGGCCAACGTCGTGACCGCTGGGAAGGTCGGAAGAGCCACGGTTGCTGTTGTTGTTGTTCTCAGTTGGGGTCGCACAATCTCTCTCTTCTCCGACTCGTTTTCTGTTAGCGCCGCCGCTGCAGCCGCTCTGAGCGGTTGTTCCTTTTGTTGTTCCTTTGGTCGTTGTTCCCCACCAAGATAGTGGTTGCGGCTGTGTCATGTTTCACGTGTATGTATATGTTTTTGTTGCAAGTTGTGAGGCATGTGTGTCTGTGTGTGTTTTGTTGGCCGGAAAAACGAAGAAAAACCACCATGGCAGCCAACCATGGTGGTTGCCGCCTTGCTGCCAATTCCTGCCACCACCAGCCACTGTGTGGGTTGGTTGTTTGGATGTAATATGGTGTGTGTGTATGTGTGTGTGTTTTTTGCATGGTTGTTGTAGTGGATGTTGTTTGTTCAGATTCTAACTTGAAACTGCCACCACCGCCGCTAGTGGGTGGTCGCCGCCGACCTCCACTGTTCGAGGTGGCAGTGGGTGGTGCCTGACTTACTAAACATTAAAGTACCTATGCATCTATCCTTAGACAGAGTGGCACATGTTATTGTTGGAAATCCTAATTAGGGTTTAGAAAAACCTAATGTCAAGAAAACCCTAGTTTTGGAGTTTTGCCGGGACCCGCGTTGAACTGTTAATTAAACTTTAAATTATACTCGATAATGCCCTACGATTAACTTAATGCAGTATTGGACGTAATGAATTAATTCCTTAAGGGATTAAGTGTGGAACACTAACCATAGTTATCATTTTATGCGGAAACTCGAAAAATAGGGAAGCCCTATTTTGGGAAATGATTAGGGCGTGTATTTGGGTTATTGCTTGGATTATTATTATACCCGATAATGATGAGGTCAAACCTTAGTCAGTCCTACCCTTAGGTGGTTAAGTCCTTAGAGGGTTAAGTGTCGTTACTTAACCCTAATCATTATTTTACATAGAACTCTAATCATCATTTCATGTGAGGTAGTCACTATTGCACATGACTATGACCTGTGATCAGGCATGGACTCTAGTATCTTTCTGTAGGCGATTGGAAGTGAGTTGAAGCTAGTAGAGCTATTTGTTACTACGATGGTTACCTACGTGCATATCGAGGTGAGTTTCGCCTCACTGTACCCGTGGTTCGAAGGCACCAATGTCGACCCACTAGTTTTGGTTATCTGTTAGTAGAAGGATGCCTTAGGGACTGTATATAGTCATGTAGAATAGAGTGAGGACTCTTGATCTAAGCTCTCTTAATTGTTCCTTGTTTGGTTGTGGTTCTAGAGTAGGATCGCCTGTCCGGGTGACTATCTTACCTCTGAGTATATATGGTCATGCATTCCTTGGACTGTTGATATTTAGTATGTTGATATGCTATAGTGATCTGTTAGATATGTATCCTGGTATCGAGTATGCTGCTATGTTGTAGTGATCTGTTGGATTTGTATCCTGGTATCGAGTATATTGCTATGTTGTAGTGATCTATTAGATCGGTGTCCTTGTATCGAAGATGCTGCTATGTTGTAGCGATCTGTTAGATTTGTGTCCTGGTATCGAGTATGTTGCTTTGTTGTAATAATTTGTAGAACTGTATGTTATATGTGCTTGCTGGTTATCATTTATGGAGTGCCCTTAGGGACTGTCTGTGGTTATGTAGGATAGCCTGAGAACTCTTGATCTAGGCTTTCTTGCATGTTCTTTGTTTGGTTGTGGCTCTAGAGTAGGATCATTTGTTCGGGTGGCTATCTTACCTCTAGTTACTTATGGTTACGCATTTCATGGAGTTTAGCTGGTAGCGAGACTCTATGTTGTAAGAGGATTAGCAGGCAGTATTGAGCTGTATGATTGATGTTGCATGTATTATGTGCCTACTTAATACTTGATTGTTTACGTGTCGACATGTTGTGTTTGGTTTGGGTGGATGTGGTCCTACTTTATGTTGTAGGCCAAAATACCTGGTGCGGGCCGGCTGTAAGTTGTAGGCACGGAGGCTCGAGATGAGCTGTTGGGTTGAGGCGGTAAGGCCAATAAACCCGGTATAGTTGGGCATTCAATTCTGATAACTGATTGGCCTCGTTGCTCGTTTATTTGTTTGGTTATATGTGGTATTTTGGGGAAACTCACTAAGCTTTATGCTTACCCAATTGTTCATTGTTTCAGGTATCATCGGTGGCTATGGGAAGACGAAGGCGAGGTTGTATACACTCATCAACAGCATTGAGGATTTCGCATTTTCTATGATACTCTGATTTTTAATAAATGTATATGAAATAAACGTTTTTCTTCATAATGAATTTATAACCGGGAAGTTTTACTTAAATAAAAGTGAAAATTTTTTGTTGTGAAAATGGTAGGTTATAAATAATAAAGCAACGTTTGTTTTTATTAATCATAGGATATACAAAAAATTTGAATATTACAATTGCTTGGTGCATTATATGTATTTTACGGAACATAAGAATTTAGTCGAACACTAAACAAGATTTTCCGTCCATTAAAACGTTTTAATTTGTACGTACATAGTATTATACAAGGTTTTTTTCGTATATAACTGTATTTCCTTTACTGAATGATTCCCACTGCATTTGATTTGAAAGTTGTGATACAGTTATGAAAAATGTATGATACTTAGTTATTAGCTAATTTTACATAAATGGTCCTTGAAGTTTAGAATGCCTCTCAGTTATTAACTAGTTTTCATTATTATTGGAAATAAAAAATAATATTAATAATAATTTGTAATGTTTGTCAATTATTCAAACGACTATATAAACTCGAACGATTATATAAATCTGGATATATATCTCATTGTACAACACAAAAAATTATTATAGAAAAAAGTTAATAATAATAATAATAATAATAATAATAATAATAATAATAATAAAAAAGGCAACATAAAAACAAAAATTATATAAAAAAAAAACAAGTCAAATCGTTTTTTATTTAATTGATATTAGTAGTAATGAGAAGTTTACAGGTACAATTACGGATGTTATTCGGGCCGGAACCGGACCGAACCGACCCGAACCCGAATAACCCGAAAATCAAGTAAGGGTTATTGCATGAACCGAAAATCAAACCGATTAACCAATATGGGTTTGATTCGGTTCCGGTATTAATCGGTTCGATTCGGTTATTACCCGAATAACCCGACTAACATGTACAAAATGATTAATGACCTAATATAACCGAAAAAAGCCGAATAAACCGTATTAGGATTCTATAACCCGAATAATAGAATAACAATTAATGTACTTTTATATATCAACATAAAACATTCAAAGACTAACATAAACAATAACACACTAAAAGAATAACATTTACATAGTAGATTGATATAATGAGAATTAATTTTTTACTTGAGGTTTTTGAGTTGGAGCCCAATTTTCCATGACTAGACAAAATAATGAATCGTGATTTTGATTTCTATCGATCAAAGAAAGGGGAGGATGAATGTTTTTCGGGTCGGGTATTTTGAACCGAAAAAGCTCTTATTTGGGTAACCCGAACCGAATAACCCGAAAACCGAATAAGTATAATATAGATACCCAAAACCTGAATCGAATTGCTTATTCGGGTTTAATTTCGTTCGGTTCGGTTCGGGTTTTCGGACCAAATTCTCATCCCTAGGTACAATTAGCAATTGGATACGTATAATAATATTCTTTTTTTGACCTAACCTGCATACGGTGTACCTTTCGGTTGCTTTGTATCATCGTATGCATTTGTAGTTGGATAAATTGATCAAATATTTCAAAATAACTTTAAGAAAACGTTTTATATAATATAAAATAATGAAAATGAATAAAACTATTTGAAAAAAAAAAAAAAACGAAAACTAGTACATCAATTAATTAGTGCAATTTCGAAGGAGGTTGTTTTGACAAGTGATACTCATACGTAATCGCATTCGAGGTGGACATGAATACCCACAAACACCTCTTGCCCCAAATCAATAAAATATGATATATAAAGAGAGCAACGTGGGTCAAGTTTGAAATTCCAGATTTGTATTTTGTTGAAATGTATGAATCTTTGACCGTACCATTGACGACTCGAAGTCTTAAACACCCAGCCGCGCGAGTTCCTCTTCCTCTTTCTAGATGAATATAAATACATGCATCCTCTCGTCATAGATTACATGATTTCAGTTCTAGTTTATTGACTATCCAATTATCAACTAATTTATATATAAAACGAAATCATCCTTTCAACAAAGGTATTAATTTGCTTTTTGGGGAACGTAAACATAAACACGAGATTTGGATTATCGATGTCGTCTGCTTAAGAAACACCTGTGTTCATACGTTGATTATATCAGCTAGCCCACAACCAGTTGAAGCTTATTCAATTCTCCGATCAATATAATGAAGGCTGCCGGAAAATTCTATACCTTTCCTTGTGAGTTACTCTCTCTCTCTCTCTCTCTCTCTCTCTCTCTCTCTCTCTCTCTCTCTCTCTCTCTCTCTCTCTCTCTCTCTCTCTCTCTCTCTCTCTCTCGGTTTCGCATGTAGGGGTCTTACCTAGCCCATGACTCTATCATTTGTTCATCTAGACATCTATGTGTTCATCAAAACTAGTTATGCTCGACGTTGGAAGCTAGAAATATTATTTTTATAAGTGTTTACAAAATTAATTGATTTAAAACATGTAAAATAACATAAAATGGTTAATATAAAACACTTCAATGATTTTTTTTAAATAATTAATTTGATTTATAAAATTATAGAAGATAATTTTGTTAAACACTATTTGAATTAATTTTGGGATTTAGAGCTTTTAGTTTTAGCTAAAGCTAAAAGTCAACAAAGCTATGTGTCTGACATGCCCCAAATAGTTGATTTAGAACATGTAAAATATACATGTTGTTTGTTCATAATATTGTAACAATAGAGTTTACTACTTAACATATGTCTAAACATCATATCAATTTCAAAGTACTCCCCACTAATATATTTAATTTGGTTTCTTGTAACTTGAAAATAAAAATATGTTTAGTTTACTCTTGAGACCAAAGTCCAGAATCATATTTATTGCACAACATAAAGCAAAGTTTTTCTTTTTGTCAAAGTAGGGAGGCATAGTGGGATGCTACGACTTTCTTGGCTTTAAAAATGTCACTTTTTAAGACTTTAATTACTTCACTCATTTTAAAATATATCTACCCTTTTTAATACGGTTAATTACATATTTATATAACCACGTTCATTTTTTTTTTTCCAATATGGGTAATCGGATTATGCTTTTTACCGATTTATGTGCAACAGTGCAAATGTTTTAATTTTTCACTAATTTCTATCAACTTATAATACAATAAAAGTTAATTTTTACTATTTTGTACATGCATAAAACTATTAATCTTTAATAATTATTAATAAATATAAGCATGCACTTATCTTTTTTAAACTAATGTGTAGGTTGATCAATTTAATTACTAATTAAATTAAGACTTAATTACTTTTAAAGAAAAGTAAATAAAAAACGAATACAAAACAATCATACAACGTATCGATTACTAAGGATAAAAATGTAAATAGCTTTCAAAGTATATTGTTGCATTTTGCTGATATAATACAAGTGAAATTGTTTTTTATTGAGATGAGTAATACTGTTCCTCTGATTATTACTTCATGTATTAATTTCCTAAACAAGATTATCTATGTAAATTTGGATCTTTTATAAATTGAATAAATTACTGTTTTTTTATGTAATATAAAGAATGACATTAACGATGGGGTATTATCTTTTATCTGGATAAATTTTGTTTAATTTTATAGCCAAAAGATATCATTTGACCGACTTATCGTTACTTTATGTTGACAAGATGTACATTTACAAATTTTCATCATTTTACCACTTGAAATTTTAGTGGACAATAGTTTTTGAATATTTTGTTCTTATATATTATATTGTTGTTACATTCTAAAAATATTGATATCTATGTTACGAAAATGCAGGGAAAATAGAAATGAGATTGAGCAGAATATGGCTTGTAATGCTGTTGCTTTTGGTTTCAAACCTGTCTCGTATTCAAGGGCAAACCCCAGAGACCACGCTACCAGGTCAACCCGCATTTACTTTGAATTTGTATTTCTAACATACATATTAATCGGTGATACCAATTGCCATTTATGTGAGGGTGACAATTCTCAACAATCAACATGACATGAAACCGACAAAAATATAAACAAGTTTGGATTGAGTTTTTCTGACCTGCCAACCCGGAACCCGACAACCCGTTGATTATATGGGTCGTATTCGGGTTTGCAAATAACTGTTGCAGCTTGACCCGTTTATTTTATTAAATTAAAAACATAAGACATATATTATTTAAATAAATGAAAGAGAAAAAAATTAATAGATAAATATATGATATTTAGACCTTTTCCCGTGACCCACAAATCCGATTTTGACACACAAACCTACGAACCAGTAAATTAAATAGGTTAGGTAGGTTGACATGTTTATGGCTAATTCAGGCTACTTTTGAACAAGACAACACAAATATTTATATGGGTCATGCTTAAGTTGAGCTTTTATAACCCGCCAATCCACCAACCTACGACCCGTCAACCCAAACACGACACGATTGTCACCCGTACATTTAAGCATGATAAATGTTGTAGATATATAAAAAATATAACCTTTAGATAATGAAATATAGATAAATTGTTGATTTAAAAATATAAATCATATATGAGATGCTCATTTAAATCATAAATCATTGTATATATACTAAAATACAAGTCTATGTTTGTAAGTAGGGATGAGCATTAGAACCGTCGGAACCGGAACCGGAACCGGAATTGGTAATAAGGTCCGGTTACCAGTTCTCCATTTTTATGAAAACCGGTCCCGGTTCTAAAAACCGGAACCGGTTTGACGTTTTTCACGTTTTTTAAAATGTGCATAACTCACTCATATGAAGTCAGAATTACTTGATTTTTTTCCAACATGTTATTTGGAGCTTGTAGTTCTATTTTGACTGTAAAAACATATATTTTAGTTAGATATTGAATCAGAAACATGCCTCGAAATAAATAATATTTATGCTGCGTTTTTTTATATTTCAGCACTTTTTTTTGTTTTTCTAAATCTGTCCCGCTTTTTTAAATGTGCATAACTCACTTCATATGACGTCGGAATTACTTCATTTTTTTCCAGCATGTAATGTGGTGTTTGCACTTCATTTTAGACTGTATAAACACATATTTTGGTTAGATATTGAATCGGTTATAGACCTTGGAAGGCAGCATATCAATGTTGCGTATTTTCTGTTTCAGCATTTTGTTTTTATTTTTTGGAATCTGTCCTGCTGTTAAAGTGCACATAACTCACTCATATGAAGTCGGAATTACTTGATTCTTTTTTCATCATTTAATTTAGTGTTTGCACTTCAATTTAGAATGTAAAAAGTCATAATTTGGTTAAATATTGAATCATTTATAGGTTCCGAAAGATAACATATCATCTATAACATTTTAACCGGTTCTAGTTTGAAAAATAACCGAAAAACCGGGACCGGAATCGGAACCGGTGCTAAAACCGGCGGTCCGGTTCCCGGTTCTTATAATATAGGGAGACCGGTTCCGGTTCCAAACCGGTCCGATTCTAATGCTCATCCCTATTTGTAAGTGTATTTCACTGTAGCGGAAACGTACATGTTGATATGCATAATCTATAAGTATATTAATTTGTTAATTTCAAGTTTAATCTTTCAACTTTATATGCTTTATCACTTGCAATCCTTCTTTTTGTAAAATTATCACTTTTAGCCCTTTGTTTTCTAGACTTTCGTGTTTATCCTTGATCTCTAGAGTATATATATATATATATATATATATATATATATATATATATATATATATATATATATATATTCTCATTTACTTTGTAACATGCATTTTTAACCCATCTATTTTTTTAAATGTTACTTTGACTCATTCAACTTAGAACTTTATAAAATGTCACTAGTTTGATCAATTATTACTTTTAATATGCAACAAAAATATGAAAAAACTCGCGGCAAAAGGTAGGGTCAATTATTCGTTTTATAGCAATTTTTAATTTTTTGTACTATAAATAAATTGTGGTCATCCTAAATTTTACTTTGTTGTAACTTATGTCATTTGTACTTTTCTTTATGGTTAAAAAGTAGTGGAATTTTGTTATAAAACCCATTTGACCTCCATTATTGCCGTTCAAAATTATTTTTTAACGTCCACCATAAATAAAACAAAAGAAATATACATAATGGCAATAGAATACGTACTTTCATTAAAGATGGTTACTATTATACGTATTGAACACCAACACTAATAGAACCTTTTAACTTTTTTTTTTATCGTAACAGAAAATGGAACAGAAACAAGATTAGCAGATGACACAGTAAGACCTGATCCTTTGGAAAGCCTCAAAAAATACAGGGGAGGATATGACATCACCAACGTCCATTATTGGAGCGTAAGTTTTCTTACATTAGTTTTACTAAACAACACTAATTAAGGTATCAGATTTTGTGTTTTATACGTTGTAATATTGTTGTTGCAGTCAACTGCTTACACAGGAATAGCAGGATACGTACTTGGGGCCCTATGGCTCTTATGCGGCGTCGTATTTGTAATATTCCTTGTGGCAACCACTTGTTGCAAAAGAAACAGTAAACTCAAGAAACACAAGACCCCACCATCATCCCACAAGCAATATTACCTATGGCACATACTTCCCGCAGCCTTCTTCACCCTTTTAGCCATGTAAGCCTTCAAGTCTATTCCTACATGAACCATGGACTTGTACCCTACAATTAACATTACATGCATCATGAAAACTGAAACTATTTTACGTTCTTTTTCAGAGTTGGAACAGGGTTAGTAATTGGAGGAAATGCCAAATTCCATTCTAGGGCAGATAAGATTATTGATATCATTATTGATACAGCCGATGATGCATCTGAGACAATATATAATACAACGGGAGCAATGAAGATGACACGTACAAATCTACAAGGAACGAATGTTGAAGCAAGAACAATACGCTTCCTTGACTCCACTTCCAGGCAACTTGACTCAACAGCAGATGATATACAACGGCAAGCTAGAAAGAATCGGCGCAAGATTGATCTAGGCCTTCGCATACTGTAAGTTTGTTATGTTGTCAAATAAAGTGTTGTCTTAATAAACATATCTACAGATATTCGAGAAAATGACAACAATACTTGAGAAAATGGAAACATACTTTTAGAAAATTTAGTAAATCCTTTTTTTTTGTGGACGATATATATTTGTTAAGTCGGTATTTATATACATTAAGTCGAAAGAAACGTCATTTTACCTATTATCGGACTAGATTGTCTCCTCACTAAAATCCATTAAGTCAAACAGAAACAACACGTGACTCGATAACTTATATTGCAACGTCTTTGCTTTGTGTTGCTAAATTAAATGGTGCTCGTGATTATGATTGCAGGTATATTGTAAGCACTGTTATTTTCGCGCTTAACTTGATTGCGGTTATTGCCTTAACATGTAAGTTTTTCACCTCGTCAAAATACAAATTATACTCAATTTGTGAGCTCTTTTGGAAATTTTCAGACTCGACTACTTGCTAATTAAATACGTTTCTTTGTCGTATGTAGCCGTGGGGGTCGTAAAAATAAGACGCGCTCTTCACATGTAAGTCGAGTAACATATATAAGCCTTATTTATTGGTTTAGTCTCTTAAATTATTAAAAATGGATTATGTTGAATTCTAATGATCATAACCGATGCAGATTGATAGTTTTGTGTTGGTTAATCACGGTTCTATGTTGGGTGTTCTTTGGGGCTTACTTCTTTCTATCACGGTATGTTTATTACTCTTTATTTCCTGTTTAATCTGCTATAAAGTATGTTGTTAATATATGAATTGAACGTGTATTAAAATTTTCAGATTTGGGGGTGATACATGCACTGCACTCGAGGGATTCCAACAAGATCCTTACAACAACAGCTTGAGCTCAATCCTTCCATGTGATGAATTACTTTCAGCCGAATCAGTACTTAATGTTGTCAGTGCTGGCGTTTACAACCTCGTGAACCAGGTACCCTTTATTACTTATTGCTTTTTGGCATGATGAAGAAGATTGTGGATTCTGAATCCTAAATTCTAAGAGCTAAATTTTAAAATTCTTTAGTCGTTACAATATTAACAAAACATTTGGTGGAAAAATTGCAGGTGAATGCTAACATAACTCGAATGCAAAGAGATTCTTCTTTTGGAGTATGCAATCCGTTTTCAGGGCCACCTGAGTACAATTACCAGCCAAACAACTGCTCCGAAAACGACATCCAGATAGGAGACATCCCTGAGGTACTTTTATACACCGAATAGCATGCACATTATAGACATATTTTAAGTACGTGTATATATATATAAAACCACACCAACTGGAAGATGAAGGAATGCACTACGTATTTTAAGTACTTCTACTGTATTTTTTGGGTTTTATAAATGGGTAAAATGCTTTTTTATGTGAAGGAATGTTAATTCTATCTCTCAAAGTACGCAAAAAATGTTTTTTCTAGACCAAATATACGGCCATGTTTTACTTGTAGACCAAAATATCCAACACTGCAACATTATAGTATTTAATTAACCGGTTGATCACGTTGAATAAATTGATAAAAATATGAAATATTATTGCATAAATAGGTAAAAATATGAAATAAGGTTTCATAAATTGGAAAAAAAATGTAATACAATTCTGCGTAAATCAATATTTAACCATTGATGTCGCAATTATTGACAAAAGAATGAAGCATGATTGCATATTTAATTTAGAAAACCATTTTGTTGTATAAATTACAAAAAATATGTGAAAAATTATTGTATGAACAAAAAATTAACCCAATAAAATGTCAAATAAACAGAAAACTTCGGAATGAAACATACACTTCATTGACACTATTTTTCTTTTCATGAAGCTGTTGAAACTGCTTACATGTGTTGATCCTGTTGACGGAGTCTGCAATGGAGGGATTCCTATATCAGGCAACGACTTTAGGACAGCAGTGGGTTATGCATCTTCCATTCAAATACTCTTAAACTCCTATCCAGGAATGGAAAGCCTCCTTCATTGTCAAACAGTGAAGGATGCATTTTCAGAAATCCTTGAGAACCATTGCAAACCCTTAAAGAGAGAAGTAAAGATCGTATGGGCAGGATTGGTGTTTCTATCAATTGTAATGGTGTTTTTAGTTCTTACATGGACCTTTGAGGCATACCATGAACACAACCATCGGTTTTCAGATGGATCTGTGAAGCCTCATCATGTAGATGACACGATAGAATCTGGCATGGTAGAAGAAAACACACAAAAAAATAGTGTAAATAGAAATTAATTGAATATTTGAAGGTGGGCATGCATCCTTGAAAGCTATGGTGATCAAGAGATGATGAGGGGAGTAATTTTTGAAAGAACATGATAGGAGATATGGAATGCACAACAACCATAAACAAAAAATATAGAAATTTCAGTAAGGAATTTAGGTTGGTTTGACAGATCATTTGTTTCTTCTTTAGTTTATTATGGGGACAAACCCCACATATACCATGTAATAATGTGTTACTAGCAATTTTTTGATAATAAAATATCTCTAAGAGATGTAACGTCGTAACATTCATTTATACATGTATAGAGATGTAACGTCATGTACACTTAGATTATTTAGGAATATTTATGGAGAAGAGTTAGAGTATCTACTTCTATATATACTAGCATTTCACCTTTTACTTTTTCTATTTAATCTTTCACTTTTTCTTGTGTTACCTCACCGATTCATTTTCCTCTCATTCTGAACTCACTCTTCAAAACACAGTAAATGGTCGCATTTCACTTCATCTCCTTTTTTTCTTTTTAAATAAAATTACTTTAATTTAAAAAATAAATACAATTAATTAAAATAATGGTTAATAGACATCAAATTAATAAAAACAGAAATATTTTATTAGTTAAAATAAAAATTACATGACCACTCCCATGTTGTATGCTAACTGACGAATTGTGGTTATGCATTTTTGTATTGGAGAAAAACTTTTTCTACCTCATGCATCCCGCTTCAACTAAATATATGGAAATCGACCCTACAGGTCACCAAGAATACATAAAAATAACTGTTTCCTCATCTAAAACCGTCATCTAAACTTTTCAATGTATACGACATCATCGACAAAATAGTCTTTCATAAGACGATTGTGTCTAGCTTCGCAATTTCTCTTCAAATGACATGTTCTCGTTCTAAACATTAAGTTTGAGCTTCTTGGTTTTGGTAATACAGAATTTTATTTTGCCATGATATGACCGATCAAGTTGCTTCTTATAATGTCTTCGTATCGGACAAACTAGATGACGATGACAACAACATTGTGGTTCACTACTACAGAAAGACACATAAGATTGCTATATAGGACCTGATTTCTAAAAAAATCAGGTTATATTATGTAAAACCTGTTGCCTTTGTATTCAAAAATAGTCTCAAAACTATGAGTTTAGCAACGGAAACTTTTTAAAAGAATATCATAAAACAAGTTTTATTTCCCAAACAAATGATCATCATTGAAGACTTAGAAAGGTAAAACACATCCGGAAAATGAAATGACAACCTTTGTAGTTCTTTGAAATCTCAAGGGGAGGCTAGATCGTGGATGAAGAATGCAAAGATCCAAAGTAGAATCTCTTTATTTGTATCCACCAAATCACCAAATCACTTCATGATGCTAGTCTTTACTTGTAGTTAGTTCTTTTTAAGCCGTATAGACTAACAACAAATTAGTCTTAAAAGGATAAGCAACTAAAGCACTCAATACTACACAACTATTGCAAGAGAGAAGAAAGAGGATACCTCTTAAAAGAAAGACTTTTGGAGCGTGATAGTAAGTGAAAAACTAGATTGTTTCGCTAACAAAAGAACTCTTATATACTCGCATAGATGAGGTCAAGTCCATACTTTCATTAAATGAATGATCCATACTTTGTAAGTAAGCTTGGGTGAAAGACCAAGTCAAACAAGCAATCCCCCACTCAACCATGTAATTCACGACTGTGGAGGTGTCGATGGGGTCATTGTGTGTCTTTAACTCAAGATCATAACTAGCTTATCCCATTTGACATTTAAATGAAATACAAAGTGTTCAAAATAAATGCACAAGACATATATATATATTATATATATATATATATATATATATATATATATATATATATATAGTTAGGTTTCCTACTATTATTATTATTATTATTATTATTATTTCTTCCATGAAACGATAATTCCTAATTAAATACAAATGTTAATTATATTAATTAATAATCAAATTATTTAATAAATAATCAGTTAGTGTTTATTTGCTTAAGGTGTGACCTTATATAATCATATATTGTGCGGTTGTGCATTTTTGTATTGGGGAAAAAAATTCTACCTCTCGCATCCCACTTCAACTGAAAATATGGAAATCAACCATCCAAGTCACCAATAAATATGTAAGCATAACTCTTTCCTCACCTGAAACCGTCATCTAAACTTTTCAGTGTACACGATGTCATCGGCAAATAATTTTCTATAAGACGATTATGCATGGCTTCGTGATTTCTCTTTAAATGACATGTTCTCGTTCTAAACATAAACTTTGAACTTCTAGCTTTTGGTAATACTTAATTTTCTTTTGCCATGAACACAACCATCGGTTTTCAGATGGATCGGTGAAGCCTTATAATGTGGATGACACGATAGAATCTTGTAACATCCTAAAAAAACATGATAAAAAATTTCATATTTCAAAAGACAATTTCAATAAACCATGAAGTAATCAATCATTTTTTCAACAACATCATGAAAATCAAAGTATTAGTATCATCTCTCGAAAACATAAAACAACAGGAGGATGTTTATGATCATGCCTTCGCCTTTCCCCGATCATCTGAAGTACCTGAAACATTTAAATCCATAACTATAAACCAAAGCATAGTGAGTTCCCCCAAAATACCCACACACAATAATATACATATAATGCTTGCACACATGAGCCTAAAGTCTGCCAGGACCGCCTTGCAGGGCCTACATGATACCTGGACCGCTCTATTGAGCCTACAGTCTATTAGACCGCCTCGCAAGGCCTACAATAGTTGGATCGCTACCTTAGGCCTACATTCTGACTGGACCGCCTCGCAAGGCCTACAATCCACTGGACCGCCAGGGTATCTTGGCCTACAACATAAAGTAGGACCGCCTCAACCCAACCAACGACAACATGTCGACATATGCATATAAACAAATAACCAACAATATAGGCAATCATACATATCTACCAATCTAACAGATCACTACAACATAACACCATCCTACACACAAGGGTACATACTGTAGTATAAAGTATAATGAGAAAACTCACCTTACAGTCTAGAAGATAACAACACTACTCTTACAATCCAAGAACTAGTACTACCGGTCACCTATACAATAACCAGGGACCAATTCTTTAACTACAAACCAATACCCTCAGATTGACCTATAGTCAAACTTGGTCAAAAAGTCAACTGTAAAAGTCAATAGTCAACAGTCAAAAAGTCTCACAGTTGGCCACCACGTCCTGCTAGCTTCAGCCATGTCCTGGTGGCCTCAGGAAAATAGTCGCCAAAACCCCTAACGCTATCTCTCCACGTCGTGGCCAGCTATGTCTCCACGTCGTGGGATCTGTCTTGACCAACTTAATTCATTAAGCTCTTAATTCTTCAAACTACTCATTTATACTTTCTAGAAGGCTTTCACTCCTCCAATAAGCCATAAAAATCAGTGCTTTATAGATATTCATGTCTAATGCATGTCTTGAACTCCAGCTAGGTGCAAATGGAAGGAAATGAGGTCAAAACCTCATGCAAGGATTCAAAACTCAATTTTTCTTCAGATCCATGACATATAAACATAAGAGGACCTCAATGATCTGTAAAGTTACCAACTTTATGGATTATAACCATACCAACCAACTTAAACATAAAAAATAAGGCAATAAAACCTAGATCTGTAAACATGAAGCATAAAGGTTGGGTCTTGAAGAATCATAAGGGTCCAAAAGATGAGTTAGGAGGTGGAGGGGGAGCTTGTTTGCTGGATCTACACATAACAGGTGCCTTCTTCTTCTTCTTCTCACCCAAAATCACCATAAGTCTTCAAAACTCAACAATGGTGTCTAGGGTTTCTTGAGAATAAAAGGGATGTGACGGAGGCTGAGTGCACCTCCAAACCAGAACGGCGGAAACGTTCGGGGGCGGAGGACGTCATGTACAATATCATAACAATGCACAATAGTAAAACAAGCAACAACATCATCCATTGCATTAATAATATAATTTAATACAAGTGTGTAGTTTGAAAGACACCAAAAATATGAATCAAAATAAAAGACGAGTGTTGAACATGCTCTGTCTTCTCAAAACCTGGTCATCGGTACCTGTCTACTAGTGACTTGAGAATACAAGTTATTTTGAAAGAGTAGATCAACATTTAAGCTGGTGAATTCATAAGTATTTTAGTGTCAAACGTTTGTATAAGTTTGATGAAAGTGTTTGATGTAAATGTTTGTAAGTGTTTGATGTAAATGTTTGTATCTCCTAGAAAATCCTATATTTTCTACTTATAATGAAATGTAGTCTTCTACCAAGACCCGACTGTTCTGTATGTTTGTTCGTTTGTAAAAGTGAGTGTTTTTCCCAAGTATGACTATCATTACCTAGAAAATAGTTTTCATTACCGTTTATGTGAGAAGATCACTATATGAATGTAATGGGAAAATGAAGATGTATAGTAGTATTGTATAAAGTAACTACCATTGTACTAACTACCTTAAACCAATTGTTTAATTAAGGTAAAATGTGATGAGATTATAACCATACTTGATTGACTAGTAAAACACGACGATCAAAACGTCGAAATGGTATGACATTCGTCACCCGTAGACCTGTAGGTCCCACTGTAACTAGCATCAAGGTGTAGGGTGGTCAATCCCGTATAGATCTATACACAAATTCACGCTCTCCCTCCAGGAGACTCTTGTTACAAAACGTGACACAGCAGTATATTGACATGCCATGAAGTAGTGGCTCACATTAATGTTATATTGTTCTTGTATTAGTGTAGTATGTTCCTTCTGTCCTAGTTTATAGTATGTTACTTCTGTTCTAGTGTATATTATGTTCCTTCTGTTCTAGTGTATAGTATGCTTGAACTGTTCTTGTTATAGTATGTTTGAACTGACTCGTGTATGAACTGACTCTTGTAAGTTTCATTGTTCTAGAAATGGTGAGTAGTAATCCTCTAAACTATACCTATTATAGTTTACTAGTACAGTTGTT